CAATCATTTTGAATATACTAGAAAATCTTTACTTTTGAAAAATGTATAATATCAATTTAAGCAATTCAGAAGAATGGTAATGTATGTAGTATATTATTTATGTTACATATTGTATTACTAAATATATTTCTCATAGGTCATTACTCATTATTTATATTAATCCGCGATGAAAATATTTGACTGGTAGCAATAATTTACATACCTACTTAGTATCTAACACGTTTTGATATTATATTTTCCAAGAACACATCTCTGTGCAGTTTGACATTGTCAGTTTTCGGTATTTTCTTCGCACGGAAATTTTATTTATAACATTTTACTGCGTACCTTTACATTATTGTTCGAAGAATTCGGTCATTATTTATCATTATTACACGGTAACATAATATATGATTCTTATTTCGTTTAATATAACGACAGAACTGAAAGTGTTATTCCAACTCTTGCTCAGTATGGGTGTACCTATATTTATGATAACGTCCAATAATTTTTGATGTAGGTACTTAATACCTATATATTATAGTTATAAAGACACGTTCATTTCGGCGAATCTATGACTAATATAATAATACAAATTAGTACATTACAATGAATTTCTTCATTATGCTGTAGCACATGTCTTAAAATCAATGACTGTTCTTTGAATTTTGGGGGCTATGATGCAAAACATTTTGAAGCCCATTATTCAACGGAGGTACTCATACTTATTTTTAAATAAATAAAAAAAGATATTTCTCCAAATATTCCAATACATTATATTCTAGTCATCTGCACATGATATTACATAGTCATATTGCTTATTATATTTATGGTATTTATGATAATTTGATATCCATAATATCGGAGTCCACAACGATAGTGTACCGACCGTTTGTACTGGCCATTTATCTCAGGCACTGCTCAAGGTTTATTTCGACCATATATTGTTGAAAAATACATATAAAACATTGTTTATTTTTTGACAGCCGTTTTCGATGATAATAACAAACAATCCTAAATCTGAAATTATTTATGATTGAATTCTATTTAGTAAAGAACCTAATATTGTATCTAGATTTCAACAATTAATACTGCAACTGAAAATGCTGACAATCCTAAACCCGTAAAATGGGAAGGAAAATTTTTTTTTTTAATATATTTTAAACTCAATAAGATCATTTTTTGGTCTAGATTAGGTTTAAATTTTCGTCTATAAGGGTAATACATCTAAAATCTACATAATATACCTACTGATATAAAACTACTAGCAGCGAATCGACGGGTTTTGATTTGTATATTGTGCAAGTCGGTATAGTGTATTAAGTATTTGAGTATAATACGGGTCGTATTACCCGTAAAACCAAATCCATGTAATCCTTAAAAAATCTCACAGTACATTGTATTCACCCATGTATATAGTATATTATTTATTGACAATATATTGTTATTGTCCAATAAATTTACCGTCGAGTTTCACGTTTTTTCATTAGTTTATTGTATGGGTTAATTTATTATAAAACCAAACTAATCAAAAAAAATTACTGAAATTATTATTGATTAATCACTAATTAGTAACGAGTATACTTTTGTATTGTACAACATAGGTAATTAATTCTTATTATTTATCATTCTTTTGATAAAAATGTCATTCTTCAATATAAGTAGATTGAAGATAATTTAACACATATCGTAGTTGGAAGTTAATAGATAGGTACATTGTTATTGCTCAACACTTCAATTTTTTCTCAGGTTATAACATTATTGTGAATTAATACTAAATAGTTTCTAAAAACTATTATATATTTTTATTATTTTTTGAAAAGTTTTATTTTAAAAGGACAATAGGTCAGTTAGTCTATATTACTATGATATAATTATTTATATTTTAAAATATATTTATTATTATTAAAGAAGTAATAAATGATTTCGTCAAAATTTAAACTTAAAATATTTATAAAAAAAAAAAATTGTATGTAATGTACTTTTTGATTATAGTATGCACTATTAACTATACTATAAGCTACTAATAAAGATTTGAACTTCGAGTGCATATAAAAATAATTAAACCTATCTGGATATATTATGTTTAGTGTTTTTTAAATTACTATAATAATATATTGCTTATGAGTTACGAGGTACAATATATAGACATGTTTATAAGCAGGTGCGTTAAAACAGACGTTTATCGAAGCAAAATAAATTAAATTATACATCTTGTTAGTGAAACTGTAATGACTTTGAGATGAATAAAATATGTTTAAGTATGCCAGCGCACTGTTGCAGTTTCTCTCTGATCCACCAACACACAATGTGTCAATATAGCAACATTTTCATTCAGCAGATTTAACATTGTACTGTGTAGTATTAGCTTTAGTATTAAAATGAATTGACCTGTTATGAAACTTAAAGCTAAAAAAATTATCTGTGTTGATACATAAAATTTTCACGATATTTATATTTTAAATTAAAACATAAAAATTGAAATATCGTAAAAATATATACAAATTACTCTGACATACAAATACAGATGATAGTTTTATTTTTAAGTATAATATTATAGATCAATTCACTCTGATATTAAAGCTATAAAAATTGTTTTCATATATAAGGGACAAAAATTACCTTAAACTTGTAAAAAAATTTACGATTTATATACATGTACCTACATATAATATGTAAATTATATGCACGTATAATATTCTTATATGTATTATGTATATTATGTCACATCAATTTGGTGTCATGGCCAGTTTCATAAAATAGATAAAAATTTCATCCACATCACGTGTTTTAGCTAGGTACGGAAAAAGTATCAAATTTTTCCAAGAGATAGTATTCTCGCCTTATTTTTTTATTCCTCGATGTTAATAATCAATTTAAATTTAAATTTTCATTTTAAAAGTTAAAAAATAATTTTGATTTTTCACTAACCTGTTGTTTTAGCATGGATTGTGTCTTAAATTATTATTGAAACTCTATCTACAAAATGAGGTTTTTTACCTGATTTATCGGTGTAAAAAATGTCAAGCTTTTAGAAAAAATTCAACTTTTCCACCAAATATTTTCATTTTTTAATTTTATAAGTATAAAATAGTATTATGATAAAGTCATCTTTTGTATATTTCACGAGTATTTGAAAAAAAACTATTAATACTTCAATAAAATTATGAGCAATTTACCGATACCGCAATCACAGATAGATAATTGCTTCAGCTAATATATCGATATGACTGTTGAAATGTGCAATATATCGATAAGGTATCACAAGTTATTACAAAATGTTTCTATCAATAAAAATTATACACGTATTAATTATTTCATAATTTATGTATGACAAGTTCCGTTCTACTAAATATCTGTATCCAATTTCGTGAAAATTTCCCACATTTTGGTTATTACATACAATGTATATAAAAAATGAAGTTCCGTTTTGTGAACGAATAAAATTTCTACTAATTTCATGAAATGGATCAGAACGCGAAATAGATGCAACATATACATATTATTATTATGTCATACAACAGTTATTTTTTGTATATCTTGAAAAATTTAACTAAAGTGCATTTTGCTTTTCGCCTTAATTCAATTCAAACTATATGTATTCAAAAGAAAACATTTTATTAGTATAAATTATTATATTGTCCAAGTAGTAAGTACCTACAACCAAAAATAAACTGTGTTCTTCACCGTTGTAGAGTGACATTTGTGCAGTGTAACATTTATCATTTTCAATTATATAATAATAACCTAATGTCCTAATGGATTCTTGGGCGTTTTGTAAAGGGTATATTCACTACACCCGACCATGCAGTTGAAACTCCGTTTGTGTATACTACAATAATATATTATATTATGTATTATTTTATTAGTTATAATTATTTATACTATACCTACATACTATTTGCTCTCTTATAATCAGTTTTGGCAATAAATCAAAATGGTCAATATGTCAATTTTAGTATTATACTATTTATACTTTAAATGAAAAATAAATTAATTTTATGTAACTTTAATTTATCTATTCTATATTTTTATAAGTACAATAAAAAAAAACATTCATGTTACTTCTTTTAGAATAATATAAGATAACAAACAATTTTTATTTAGTATAAAGATTACAATACTCAAATTCTGCATCTACCACGACGCAATAATAGTAGTTTACGGTTAATTTTTATATTTAAAATCGATAACATTTAAGCTAAATTATATCACTTTTTCCTAAAATATTGAAGATATTTTAGGGATGGCAAGAGCAATTGAAATAATCGAATTATTCTATATGAACATTATATGACAATATGTGTAGTGTATTTGTGTATTTATTGTGGGGTTGTGCGAAACATGTATCGTATTTAAATATCTGAAAACCGTCAAAAATAATATCAAAGTTACATGTCAATGAGCGTTTTGCATACACTGGACTAAATTATATTATATGGTTATTTTATTAAGCATATACGTTTTATCGTAACACATTATTAATATTTTTTTACACGTTATCGATGGTGAAATGCGTAGGTGTAAAATGTTTAAAAAAACACACACTTATACACAATAAAATACAGTAACAAAATAAATACGTAATGTGTGGTAACTATTTATGTATAGCGTGCAGACGTGCAGTATACATTTTTAGTTTAATTTATTTTATTCAACAACCTTGGTAAGAGTGATTAAAAATTATTATAAATTAAATTGTATGAACCATTTAATAAAAGTTGCGAACACAAACTTTTAGCATCTATATAATATATTATATTTATGGTATACTACACTATGCATATATTTTTATACGTCTGTGTAAAATTATTATATCAGTTTTATATATAAAAATATATATATATGAAATATAATACAGGAAAATATAGTATAATATATCGTAAGTGTAACAACAACAAAAGACATTTTACAATAAATATAATGTAGGTATAAACCACATAATATCAGTCACTATGTAGTTATTATATTATACTTATACATATATAATACATTTTTGGACCGTGGACTTTGTGTTGCAGGTTTCTATGTCAATCACTGAAAGAAAAAGTCAATTGTTATACGCTGTTTGTATCGCAGTACGGCTTCAGTGTTTCTCCAAAAACCATAATTCCGTTCACTGAAGATTCATGTATCCTTTGTATCTGCTTTGGGATGTGTTTTGTGATAATAATAATATCTGCATCAAGTGCTACTTCCCGGAAAATTCTGCGGTCACATTATTATACATGAACACTTATATATGTATAATACCCATATTATATTATGTGCAGGGTTAGGACTCAGGATGATTTACTGCAGCATGCTCGCCCCTATTTTTTTCTTTAGTGATAAATTTATTCAGATTTTGATTTTTGGAATTTTTAAATATACTCACTGGTCACAGATCATATTTTTAAAATCTTTGGAATTTTTTGCTACTTAAGAAATGTTTTGTGATGGAAATAAACTTCTGTATTTCTAATGAGAACGTTCCTTTAAATTAATTAATGGATAATTATTTAAAAAAAAAAATTAATATATTTAATTCAAATTTCTAAAAAGTTGTTTCTTAGTAATTAAAATGTTTTTGTTTATTATTAGTCAAAATAATAATTGAATAAACATATTTTTAAAAATTAAAACAAATTGTATACCTACTATATGCCTATACCAAAAATCAATAGAGATATTCATCAGATATATAAACTAATCAAATTAATAATTACAAACAATGATTTCATACAATATATACTCGCATAAAACATAAGTACTAGGCTCATAGTTGTACAATTAAAATAAGCATACCTAGTAAGTTTTATGAAAAAGTTATTCTTACTTGACAACAACATTATAAACATATTATGATGTTGACATTTTAAATTCCCAACATTATTTTTTACCAACTCACATTAAACTGTATCAATACATTTAACAAACTACATAATATTACAAGATTTTCATCAGTTTATTTTAAAATAATTTAAATTTAAATCTAAATTTAATCATGTATCACGATTTTTCACATACTTATTCATTACAGTATCCCACTCGACACCTAATGTATAGCAGAGTAGTACCTATCCGCTTACCCATATAATAGATTAAATATACTAATATAGTATATTTAATTTATGCCCATATTTACTTATCTTAACGAGTTAAAAAATTAATTTATCTTTCTTAACTTTGTTGGTACTGCATTAATGTATTATAACGATCAAAGTCTCGTATGAATCACATGGTCTGTATAATACATAAAATTCGATTTGCTCAGATTGGTCGGATTGTTTAAACACCAGAATGGTCTAAGTATAGGCCAGATTGATTAAACAGAAGCAAATTTACCAAAGTTGTGTAAACAAACATTGCGTTAATTTTGTAAAGTTTCTATAATTTCAACAAATATCACATGTTTTGTGAGAGAGATAGAGAATAGCTGTGATATACCAACCAAGCATGAAGCGAACTGGGAAGTTGGTATAAGTATTTGGCACAACTCAAGATTTCCAACTTAAACGTTCACTGTGGCATGTTTTATCATCTGTTTTAGTTTGTAATTTATAAAGTTATTCTTTCACAGTCTACGTATATACGATACACGGTGTAGTATATTATAGATGTATTTTCTGTATGCTTATATATATATGCACACAGAGGTGATATATCAGTTAAATGATTGGAGATACTTAAACTTCCTATTTTTTTCAGTTACCTATAGTCTCAACTCTTATTACTATGAATTAAACGACGATGAACAATTTCATTCTCCTCTCCTCACATACCACAACACCGTTTAATAATAGCTTTTTAATTTGTTCCTTATACATAAATATATAAAATATTAAATTTTTATAAGTTATAGGTATATTAACATAAGAACAATAAGAACTATAATTTACCACAAATAGTATAAATTATGAAGTTGCTATTTTCAAAACTGGAGGTACTTTTTAAAAAAGCTACCCACCACAAAAAAAAAAATAATCTATTATACACCACTTTATGCACAATGCACGTATCTAGTGTATAAATTACATATTTAACATACGAGTACATGCGTCGCGCATAACTATAGACAGCGATATACTATACCATCTAATAGTACCGTAGTTAAATACCTATAGCTTAAAAAAAAAATTATCAATATTGACTCTAATGATTTAAGACGACCAAACAGTTTTCGTACACTTTCCTTACATACGAGTTATGTAACAGTTTACACCATCGGCCGGTGCGTAGTACTCGCGTGTTCCGACTACTTCAAATCGACCGGCGTGCTGACGCCGCAGGACGTAGTTGTCAAATGCGTCAAAAAACGGGAAAGGAAACGGAAAACTGTGTTGTACCGACAGCGCGAGACCCACCCGTCATTCAAGAGGAAAATCAAAAAAAAATCGCTAGCGTTGAAACGGGTGGACATCAAAGATACGTTTCGCAGCGCTCTGGCGGACTGCTCGAGGCGCCCGTCCGACGACCTAAACAGGACGAACGCCATCAGACGGAACATGCGCTTTGTGAACCCGTCGAAAATGGTCGACAATCGGCGGTCATCGAACGCAGCAGAACGCGATAACGCCACTGCTCCCCCACACACGTTTTCAATCATAAATGTCAACGACATCATACGAGACACGGACGCGTTGCTCAAGTTCTGATGTGGCAGCTCGCGACAGTGTCTTACGAGTACCTATACATCATATTTAATATTATTATACTATGTAGTATACTCACTCTATATAGATACGAAATCTGCAGTGTCGAATCCTATAGGAGAATGGTCGGAGAGGACTTGTTTCAAACGTCCTCACCGAATTTCCACTGACATAAGCGTTTTTCGTTTTTTAAGGACACTTAGATCGTTTTCTTCGTAATACCTCTGCAGCCCTGCAGGACATGACTGAATTTTGAGTGGAGAGGATATTATACATCTCGAAGTCTATTTTTATATATAAATATCATATAGATATAGTTTTGATTGAGTTTATTGAGTTAAAAATTAAAACGTTCCTTTTTTCAATATTTCCAACATTTTCCCGTAAAGTTATATAATCTATGTAAACAATTAAAATTTATTTAATAATAAAGACTTGACTATGATATGATTTAAAAATACAAACTTAATATTTTTCAAATCATTATCAAACATTCAAACGTTAAGGTCATTTTATATTTTAATGTTGGTATTAGTTTCATAACACGCCTCAACCAACAGAAATGTTGGATCCGCTGCTGACTTTAATGTAATACTTATAAAATAGATTTTATACCTTTTAATAATAATGATTGTAATTTATAATGATTTTTTCCTTAGCCGTAAATTCTCGCGATTTCTTTTGATTATAATTTATAGTATATATCACACACACTTAGTAATATCAATATTTTCAAGATGCCAACGTCCACTTCATGTAATGCGTATAATTCATATATTGATATATTGAAGACTACGTTATAAAAGTATTGTAAATATTTTTATTTATATTAGTTATTAATGTTATTTTATTTTAACCGCGCTTATCAAATATTTAATTAGCTAAATAAATTAATAAATAAAATATATTATTATTATAAATAATCACACCAATTACGGACAATTGCTTACGTATTTTCTTACGAAATAGAACAAATTTACCCAAATAGTGTAATAATTATATTTCAATCGTTTATAATTTAATGTTTTACCTACATATTTATAGTTAACCTAAACAATAACTAAAATAATTTTTTTTCATATGATATGATTTTTAATACTTTTTTAATATAACAATATAAATATACAAGCAACATTTGTTTTATTTTTTATTCTTCCAGACCTTTTTCTAAAAAAAGGTTAAATTTAGATTTAATCAAAAATTACATCCAATATTATATATACAAATTTAATAATTTGAAAAAAAAATGTAATATAGAAGTAAGAGACCTAACGTAAGAAGACAAATCTCACAAAAAGTATCATTGTTTATATTTTATAATGAGTGATTAAGTAATTCTAATTAACTATTTGAGAAACAATAACATATAATTTCGTCGGTGAATCTAAAATCTAGACGGTACTTCGTGTTCTTGACTACCTTTCAAACAGTAATATTTGTACCCGACAGAAAAAAAAATGTTGAGAAATACAAATACGCAATTGCAAATATTCAGTCTTCTTAAAAATATATGTATATATATATATTAATACAGTAATAAACATGCAATGTAATACACTAATACCTACATTAATGCTTGTTATTAATTTATACATTAATATTTTATGATTGAGCGTACAAAGAAAAATGCATTTCCAATTCCAAATTAAGGTGAAATACAAATAATAAAAATAGAAAGAAAAAAATTATAGTTATTTAATTAAATAATTTATTTTATGGTGTACCTTGTACCTAGCTTGTAAGAATGCCAGAATATGCTTATAAGTATTTAAAATATATCATTACTCAATGTTTTGATCTATTACAAATAAATAATAACAAATAAACTTTTATAACTAAAAACAATTATATTTTTTATTATACTTTTTTCTTTGGTGAGGCAATATTGAACACTCTCGAAACTATAATGTTTGTATCTTTTTGATTCTTATACTAATCCCGTAAAATGTGGATATCCGAGTGGGGGAAGGGTAACAAAGGCATACGTGAGTCTGTGAATTATGAGTGAGATCAAGATACGTAGGTAGGTCAAAAAATATCGGCACTCTTGGGAATGTTTTCAAGCTACGTGCCTTGGCTTTTAAATAAGTAAGGGACCACAGTTACAAATATCAAAAATTCTACTTGTGATATAAAAAATAAAATAAATAATAAACGTAAGGTACCTAGCCACAAAAAATAGATGTGCTTTTTCTTTGAACGTTGAAGTGTATATAAATCTAATCACTATCAGAATATGTACAGGAATAGTTGTCAAAGTAATTGAATTGACACCCAGATAAAGGTAATTAATATTTTTCTCCTAAAATGTAACATTGAATTATTAGCTCTTAAATCATGATTTTATAATTAAAGCGTGGATTTGTATGCATTTGTATACTTATTCTGATTGATCGTATGATATGCTAAGTGAGCAAAAAATTTATTTCATAACATAACGATTTAAAAAATGAAACTTTTTAGTGCATATTTTTGCATATTTCGACATTTTTCTATTTTAAGGGCTTATTTTACAATTTTAATTGCATATTTCATCTTTTAGTGCATATTTTGATACTTTTTTAGAAAATTTTTAAATATCATATATTATTACAGTATATTATGATATAAGAAAAATATTGTATTTTTATAATTTCGATTAATTTTAAAATAAATTAATAGGTATAGACAGTTTTTCCAAATATAACCTTAGATCAATAATCAGGGAAATAAAATATACATATACCGAATTAAAAAAGATCGATTACAGCCATGATTGGACATTGATATTATTTCACTATTGTTCAAAAAATAATTTTTTATGCATATTTCAAATTTTTAGAACATATATTTAGTTGGTTTTTAATGCATATAAGCCCGCGCTTATAATCATAACTAATTAGTTAGGGCTCTAAGTAAATTTATTTTATAAATACATCAAGTGGTATTTTAAAAATAAGTTTCAGGCCATATCATCACTTTGAATATAATAATTAATAACACAAAAACACAAAAATATAAATCAGGAAAAATCTAAATACGAGAATCACGTGTCATAAATTTAATTTTTAGTTTAAAAATATTATGAAAAAAAAGTAAAAATATGAAATAAAAAATAATAAGTAATGTTAATAAAATAAAGTAAATTAGATTTCACAAATAAAATTTAAAAAAAACTAAATTAAATCATATTTGTGGACTAATATTAAAACCATGAAATTATAATTCTGAATTTGATTTTGATTTTTTAAAAATTGTGTCTTATCTCGATTTTTTCCGTCAAGTGTTATTAATAAGAGTTTCTTACAAAATACAGTAATTATAAAATCAGCTTGAACACTATATTATAATAATTTAAGTCCAATGTGTTTCTTTTTTTTAAATTAAACATTTTTGGACAATGAAACACAGTACTTTTTTAAGAACCAGTAATAAAATTATATTATTTTATAATTTTAGGAAATAATTCAAAAAACTATTTTTGCAACTAATTCAACTACAATTAATTTTAAATTTTCATAATATTAAGGACCAATACGATTGTCTTTCAAGTTATCAAGCTATAGTATTTACCTATACTTATCTACCTATATGTACTCACAGACCGTATTTTCAAATCTTTGAATTTTTTTAGTATTACTTAAGATTTATCCTAAGGTGTACAAACTTTAGTTTTTCAAATTAAATACTTTTTTTTCTGTAAATTATTTAGCAGATATTTTTTTTAAATTAAAAAAAAAATCGAAATACGAGTAGTTGCTTAGTTATTATAATGCTTATAAGTACCTTTAGTATCTAAGGATAATAGTCCTTAAAAAAGATTTACAAAAATATAAAATATATTTAATATTGGATTTAGTATTTATTACACCTGGGTCATTACTAATATTTTCAATTTATTATAGCTCTCTTATCTTCCAAATTCATTATCATGAATCTTTTATCGCTATAACACATAAAGTTTAATAACTAAAAAAATACTTGTTCAAATTTTGTTCTAATCCATTAAAATTTTAATAAAAATCAACCGCTAAATAATTTACAGTATAAAAAAGTGATGTCATTTGATAACAAAAATTTGTATATTGAGTAGTATAAAAAGAATCTTGTGAATTTGAGATACGGTCTTATAAAGTATAAAAACAAATTAAAATCGTGGTATTTCACTTTCACGCTGGTGTCAGGTATACGGAAGACATTGCTATTTCGACAGCGTGTTTACGTGTAAGGAAAATAATTGGATTACGCTTAATGTTTATGGCATACGAACGTGTATAAATACCTACATACGAGTATTCCAATAGATAAAATGTTTTTGTCATCAAATCAACTAGAGCGTCTTATAATATATTATACAAATTATCTTATCTGATGCTTTAAAGAATATAGTTTATTCATAAAAGTTACTGAGGTGAAACTAACAGCTAAATCTATACATCTATACACTAAGGCACTAAGCTACCAATTTCTATAAAATACTCACAATCCTCATATATACAAATCATAAACTACAAATATATTATGACTGATATTTTGTTAATTTAACCTTAAAATATTTCCTAAATATTAACTTATTATTATTAAAGTGGATAATACCAACTTTAATCTAAATACAAATTGCAAAATTAATATTTAATAAACGTACTGTTTATATAATATTACAAAGTTTCGTCTTTTACACGGGATATTAGATAATATTCTACAGAATATATATTTTATAGATACACACATAAATATCGACTTTATTTATTTTTTTATTAACTTAACTTAAAAAAAAAAAAAAATTGTTAAGTAAGTATCTATTTAAATTAAATTTGGTATATCTTATTAGGGGTTAAGTATAATTTATATAGGTATCTACAGTGAATAAATATAACCAATAGGTTATAAATTATAATAACCATTATAAACTGTGCGTACTTGTATACATAATTTTTTAATACTAGATTAATAGAAATCTAATACACCACAAGTCCCTATATTTAATATGTCTAAATCATTTTTTTTTTATCTTTTATAGATACATCCTTAAACATAATTATAACCCCTTGGTTTAGAAAAAAAAATTAAATTATTAATTTTATATTAAATTAATAATTATTTATCACAATAATGTTAATAACTAGTTTTAGACGTTATGGACGCTACATTTTGAAAAATGTTAATGTGGAAAAAATGTACTTTTACAAACACTCAACTTTTCGAGTTAATACCTGCAATAATATTACTTTAAATCAAAACTAATAGTACCTAATGAATGCAGAATAATAATTGTTTTTTTCAATTGACAATGAGATGACAACAACAAAAGAACCCACTTACCTACCAGAATTATCTTCTATATTATACATTATAGTAGTATAGCCTGTTAACTGCCGAATAACTTTAAGACTTTTATAACTATTTGAATATTTAACAGAACTTAATAATTATTCAAATTTTAAAATATTAACATAAATTAACTTAATAAGTCCTCAAATTGCTAAGTCACGCAAAATCAACAGTTTTATAATATTTTAATTTTAAATTTTTCTTCCTATCAAAAAAATATTTAAAATTATATAATAAATACGTATCTTTGTTATGATGATTATTAGAAAAATAAATTATTCTTCAATCACCTAAGTAATTTGTAGGGACTAATCAGGCGCAAATTCAGGGTATATTTAAGCACAAACATCTCGTAT